CGCCGGCCTGCTCCCCCCCCAGGGGATGCCCAGCGCCCCGACCCCCCACCCCCAGCTGTTCCCTTCGTGGACAGGGGCCTCGGGACCCCGGGCCTGAGCCCTGGAGGCTCTCGGTGGGAGGCAGGGTCCTGACCCCGGTCCAGTGGTGACAGGGACCCCTGGACGGTCACCACGGAGTGTCCCCCGAGATGTCTCCCTCTGAGCTGCCTGTCCGGGTGCCCTGTGGGAGTGGCAGGGACCCTCCCACTGCACGCTGGTCTCGGGGTGTCGGGAGGGGCCGCTGACCCTCTGTCCCTCCCCAGGGCTGCAGCTGCTGGACATCCTGACACGGCTTCGGTGAGTCCCCCTGCTGTTCCTGCCCTGCCCCCCCAGCACCCACACAGCGCCTCCAGGGGGGCAGGGGGCCCAGGTCCCAGCGAGAGCCCAGCCCTGGGGGCAGGGCAGCTGCCCCTAGAGCCAGGGCTGCCACATGGAGACAGGACACGAGTTGAATTGACTTTAGACAGACAGGGTTGCTGTGGTATAAGCACATCCCAGATGGTGCATGGGACGTACTTACGCTAAAAACCATTCATTGTTTCTCTATTTTTATATTTATATATTTACTGATTTCAGAGAGGAAAGGAGAGGGAGAGAGAAACATCAATGATGAGAGAGAATCATGGATCGGCCGCCTCCTGCACACCCCAAACTGGGGATCGAGCCTGTAACCCAGGCATGTGCCCTGACTGGCAATTGAACCGTGACCTCCTGGCTCATAGGTCAACGCTCAACCGTTGAGCCAGGCTGGCTGGGCCTGAAATTCAGTTTTAATTGGGTTCCTGGGAACCCACATAGCTGAGAACCTCCATCCGAGGCCTCACAGGACCTCTTTCGGGGTGTCAGCTTTGGCTGGGGGGACCCCAGGAGGAAGAGGGGAGGCTGGGGTGCTGAGAGGGCCTGCCCTGCCGCTGAATGCACAGCTCATTGGCCAGACTAAGATGACTGGCAGGTCCTGGGCCCAATGAACAATCAAGCTCCCCCTGCTCTGGCAGAAGCCCCACCCCCACGGTGACCACCCCCTCCCCCTCAGGTGAGGTCTGGTTGCTGACCTCCCAGCTCCCATCCATGAGCCTCTGCCCCTGACCGTGCAGCCCAGCCCCACAGACCGGCGGGCCCCTGGCTGCTGTGGCCCTTGCCCGGCTCGGGGTTGTCT